ATAACACCCATCCTCTGCGAGCTGCACTGGCTACCTGTCGATTTCCGGGTGTGCTTCAGGGTATTACTTACCATCTTTAAAGCCCTCCATGGTAGTGGATCTGGATACCTGAGAGACCGCCTCCTGCCGATTACCTCCCTCCGACCAATTAGATCACACAGATTGGGCCTCCTCCGAATCCCATCTGCCAGTCAATGCCGACTGGCGATTACGCGGAGGAGAGCCTTTTCTGTAGCAGCTCCGACCCTGTGGAACGACCTCCCTGTTGAGATTCGCACCCTCACCACCATCCAGACCTTCCGCACAGCCCTCAAGACCTGGCTATCCCGCCACGCCTGGGGATAAGTCTCTAATTCACCCCACCCAAGTGTTGAATGCTGAATGAAAGTTGTGTTTTTTACTGTTTATTTTAGTCACATACTGTTTTTGTGTTATATTGCACTTCCCCTTTCCCTATGAATGTAAGCCGCCCTGAGTCCCCTCAGGGAAAAGGGCGGCCTATAAATCCCAATAAAACAAACAAACAAACAAAAATCAGCTGGTCTGCACATGCATGCGTGCTGGAGCTGACGGCTTGCATGCCGGCAGATATGGTTCCGCGTGCCACCTGTGGCCATAGTTCTCCATCACAGTTCTAGGCTGATTCCTTTTTTGACTTTGCCCCCAGATTCTGTCATTCCTTCAACTACATCTGAACTTTATCAATATATCACATTGGCAGCATTTTTCTTGGCTGTAGTTTGGAGAGTTGTATTTACCTCTTTTTCCTTGGGCAGCGAGGATCCAACTTTCACTTCTACACTTCTTTCCTCAGGGATATAAATTTTTGACGTCCGGCTCCAGATTTCACAGCTTTTGTCCTTTTCTCTCCTCAAGCGCAACTGGTTTTCCTGCTGAAAATCACCACAGTTGGGATTAAAAAATGACTTTACTAAGCCCAGGTAGCTTTGGCTACCAAAATGCCCACCACAATCCTATGATCCATGGCACAACTCTCTTTTGCAGGTGCCAACCTTACAGACGTCCCTGCCCAGAGTTTAAAAATCAGGATTCTGACCAAATTTATTTTTCTTCTTTTCCATATACAGGTAGTCCTCCACTTAGAACCATTCATTTAGTGACTGTTTGAAGTTACAATGGCACTGAAAAAGTGACACGAGCACTTTTCACACTTACGACCATTGCAGCATTCTCATGGTCACAAGGTCAAAATTCAGATGCTGGCAACTGCTTCATATTTATGACAGTTGCAGTGTCCTGGGTCACATGATTGGTTTTTTTTGTCAGGGTTCTGATGGATGCCCTAATTAAATCATGAGCCTCGAACCAAGCTTCAAAAGAAATTCAGTTATTCATTAGGAGCAACATGTCCGCACCTACCCAAGTGAAGCCAACTCTGAACCCATGTAATTTATAGCTCGATTAGGACCCTGTTTCCCAGGTTGTGTGCCATAAATCACATTCTCCAACTAAGCGCTTTCGAGAGCTGTAGAGATCACTCCCCCTCCAGCTGCTGTGGGTAACCTGGGAGACAGCCTTAGGAGAGATAAGTGTGGAATGTGCTTCTGTTTGTGGCTGCTATGCTGCTTCATCAGTTTCCCATCCCCCTTTTCTTATGGCAATTCGAGAGCAGGCCGGGGATGCTTTGTGAGTTGACATTTTTTGTGACCTTCTTGCAAGCAATGTCAATGGGGAAGCCAGATTCGTTTAACAACTGTGGTACTAACTTAACAGTGTTTCACTAACCACTGTGTCAGTACAGGTCATAAAATGGGGTGAAACTCACTTAACTGTCTTGCTTAGCAATGGAAATTTGGGGCTCAGTTGCGATCGTAAGTCAAGAACTAACTGTACCAGGAGGAGCTGCCAACGTCGCGATGATATGGACAGGCGGTCTTGATGCTCTGAGACCGCAGCCAATACTTTTGTTCCTGGGCGGTCCAATCGGACCTAAACTGTCCCCAAAGAGGCAGTGAACAGGAAGAATACATCTTGATGACCTCAGGGATATCACAAAATCTCTGAAAAAAGCAAGAGAAGTTCTTCAAGCTGGCGACAAAAAATCCAGCCAAGGCTGACGAAGTCGGGGCAGCTCCAAAATGGAAGGATACGGAAAGAGAAAGTGTTTTCAGCTGGCAGGAACTTTTACTGTTTTAAAAAGAGACTGCCTATAAAAACTTACAATTAATCTAAATTGGAGAACAGAAGAATCAAGCGGAAGAATTAAATTTGGAATGGTTTTGGACAGTGGTTATCTTACTTTTTAAAAGCTATCTTCATGGTTGGAACTTATGCAAGCCTTTTGAAACGGATGGATTAAGTTTTCTTCTTTTATTTTTTTCTTTTATTGTTCTCTGTAACCTATGGACTAAAGTTTTCCTCTTTCATTGCTGTGGGTGTTTTTCTAATTCATTTAAAGATTGGACTCTTTTTTTAAAATTTGGAATACAAAAAAGATACAAAAGGAAACTAGATTTTCAACAGTGTTACCGCTGCCCGGAGGCTGGAAGGATTTGTTGATTGGAGTTTTGTGTATTGAAAATGGAACACTTTTTTTTCTCCACGGGTTGTTTTGACTTGGCAATACAAGATTTTACTGCTTGGCTACAGAGTGTGATAAGAAGGGAAGCACACGGATGTCCCTTTGAAGTATATTTCTAACCAGAGAAAAGTGAAAACAACGTTCTTTGTGAATCTATGCTTTAATT